AGCCATCCTTGATTCCTCGTCGCCAAAATGTAATGTCCACTCCTCGTTCTAAGTTTAAATTGACTAACCCTTTATTAACTTAGTTTACCGACTTTTATACAAAATACATGTCCACTAATTATTCATGCAAATTATTCATAATGAGTTCATAATAAGTATAAACATTACAGTTATGAACTCGAAATTTTTCTTGTATCACATGTTCATTTTCCTCGCTCAAACTTAATTCCTTTAATTTAAGTTTCTTTCTTGGCGTGTTGCAATTTAATATTGCACACTTTTTTCGATATTTTGGAATGCCTTTTGACAATCTGCACACAGAACAAATCCTTTTATTGGGTAGTAGTATATATTCATCTTTCGTTAAACCTAGCTAGAAAGAAAAATTGTACATTTTATAAATTGTATACTGTGTTAATTGAAAATTTCAATTCATTTAAAAATAATATTTCTTTATATCTTTAAAATTGACGCTATTTGTTCCTGCACAAAGAAATATTTTTGATACTGCGATTACTTTCTTGGTTATTATTCATTGTACTTTGTTCTTGTTTTGCTATTGGCTAAAAGCTTACAAATTATTATTGAATTATTATGTGTAGATGCCCGCTCTATTTTCAAGTTTAACTAGGTTTCTCACAAATTTGGGTATATATGGATAATGGTATCTGATGCCGAAAATAGCAGGTATTAGTGTATCCATGTGTTCCCTGAACATATGTCCATTTACATGCTTACTCTTAACCATACAAAAACGAGGCGTTTGGGTCAAAATAACCACAAAAAAAACGAGGCGTTTGGGTCAAAAGTGAAAAAAATAGTGAAGTATTTGGGCAGCGTTTTTTCAAGAGAAATAAATGTAAAATGTATTTGTTTGGGGCAATGCTTTTCTTCCGATAGTATAACCGTTATTTGTTGTGTATCTCGGCCGTTTGCGTGTCCGCGTGATTTGTGCTAATTGGTCGTGTGAGAAAATAATGACTGGTGCCGGTTATATAAAAGGTAGTTAACGTAAACTATAGTTAATGCAAGACTTGTCCAATCTGAATCGTTTATTTTAGATTTAACAGCAATTTATAATTATACAACCGGCCCCTGTATGTAAAGCCTGTTTTCCACCAGGCGAATTTGTTTGCGCATGCAATGCTAAAACCGAATTTTGGCAACGTGATTGAATAGTGAAAAAATCACCATGAAGAACTTTTTCGCTAGCCAAGAACGTTTTGCTTCCCGTAGTGTGAAGCAAATGCTTTTTTTTACAACGTAATTGGCTAGCGAAAAAGTTCTTTGTGGCGATTTTTTTCACTAACCAATCACGTTGCCGAATTTCGGTTTCGCATCATGCAAACAAATTCGCCTAGTGGAAAACGGGCTTTAATAAGGAATCTACTGGGGTATTAGTCTAAAATATCAGTCTGGCATTCCATCGCTGTCCATAATAGTTCCACCCATACGAGAAGACGCAGTCTGCACTCATATTTATATCGGGTTTTTCCGTTTTCAATGCACTGCTTTCACAGCTTCGTTTCATTCTCGTACGCAGGCTTCCATGTTTAGGCTGACCCAAAACATTTTAGCCAGGAAATCAAGTTAGAGCAATAGACTGCAAGACGCTCAAACCTGCATTCACACCGTTTTTAAAATTCACGTGGCAAAGACGTTTACATCTCTGTAAAGCTCAACTGAAGTAAAGCTCAATAAAACCTAGTGACGAAACCTGCAGAGGAGAGAGCGGTAGCACAGAATAGACTACACAGAAACCCGACTTCTTGGTTTTTTCTATGATCTATTTTCCAATGATTTTGCGTAACCGTAATTCGTCATCAAAATGCTGATGCCATGGGCCTAGCCAGTGCACGTTTGAGAGGCATTTACCCCCTGAAAATATTAAAAATGGTGGACGTCCAGGGGAGTAATGCCTCTCATAAGCTCACTGGCTAGGAATGGGCTAGGCCCATGGCGTCAGCATTGTAATGACGAAGCATGATTATTATATAGAGGATATTACATGGTGGCGCGAAGATAGACTTTTATCTTCGAGTGGTGAAAACAATATTACATAGTCCCAAGCAAAAAATTGTATAAATACTAAAAAATCACGTGATCGATATCTTCACTAGTGAAAGAAAATATGTCGCTGTGTATTTCTTAGTATCTCACTCTCAACTATTTGATAAACAGTTATAACTGGTGTACCCACTTTTTTGTGGGCATCCCATTGTATGACGGCTTGCTTTAACTGCTTGCGGAATTTGCCGAGCATGCACAGTTGATCATTTTTTGCCCGGTCGCCTGAAAAAGGTGGGTACATGAAAACGTAAGTTTCTGCAGTGTTTACGACGGTATGTATGTATCAACTCTGTATGTATCTACTCTGTAGTATGTCTTTATTCTGTGTCGGTAGGCTACTGTAGAACTGTTGTTGTTTGGGAATTTGTATGATACCCTCCCCCCCCCTGTGCCTATGCAATTGTTGTTCCATTGCTATGCAACCAACTCAAAATCCGACCGTTTCGATTTTCGAATGCATGCACACGTCGGTAGCAGTGGTGTTTTATATCGTGAAAATACTGATCCAGATACCAGAGAATCAACTGTTCAGAAAGTTATTTCAAGGGATGGTGAAAACTTGTTGTGTTGGTGCATTAATGTTTATTGACAAAATCTACGCCACTGTTGGAAACTGACAGTAAGAAATTATATTTTCTTGACCAATGACAATGTGTAAAAATGACAATTTTTCAAATTATAAAATCGACAAGTCTTCGAAAATTATATATTTACAACAAGACAAAAATGTCCATATATATGCTTGTTTACATTTCTCCTCGAATCATGGCAGCTAACACAAGACGTATCTGGTTATAACTGTATGTATTTTTAAGTGCATCTTGAACAATTCGCAAGCCATCGTTATCTTTTTGCAACTGTGAAGCAATGACATCCATGTCCTCAGCGCCGAGATTGAGTTTTAATGCCAAATCTTTGTAAGACACCGGAGCACCAGAACAATAACCATCGATTGTGTATACCTCTGCTGTAGCAATGGCAACATTGAGCATTCTTGCTATAGTCTCGAAAGAGCATAACTGTTGCTTTATAAATATTTTCATTGCCTCAATTTTTTTAGGGGAAGGCCTGTTTGGGCTGTAGGGAGCTTTTAGAGCTTGAATATTCTGTATAAATTCAGAATAAAAGTAATGGTTGGAAAAACTGCTGTGAGAAAATACTGTATAGTCAGATTTATTGACCAAACCAAAGACTTTGCGAATTTACCTTGCCCTTGACATGAACATCGTTCGGTTTTACAGATGTCATTCTTACAATTCCCTAGTTTGAAGTGAAATGCAGCAGTATTCATTTTGTGTAGCATATGCAGTATACATTGAAAACGGTATATTTTTATTAAAAGTAGTGGATACTTTCTTGTGCTGTCATATTTTGCATGAAAACTATTTTTATAGCTGCTTACGGTTTTTATGTCGAAAAGCAACTTCAATAGTTATATATTATTGCATGTTTTAAGTATATTTCGTTCATAAGATACATGAAAGAGAACTATTACAAGGGGAATTTTGAAACTATAGTCAATGAATTGTCCTACTCGTTATATTTTGACCGGTTTTGTAATTATACCGGACGGTTTTTTTGTCATTTAATTATGGTATTTAATTACGGCACAAAACAATGAAATGCTTTCAATTTGCACCTAAACATTTATTGTTTTTAAAACTTTTTTTAATAGAAATAATTAGTTTTCTTAACAAATGTTTTTTTAGTATTTGGTCTATGGATAAGTATGTGCGGCAGTTAATAGCCAAGCTGGAAATACGAAAATACACAGCACGAACTAAAGTAACTTACAAACTACACAGTCGTTATTTTTATCCATTTTCAATATATTTGAATCCAATTTATTATATATATTATATGGCACTTAAACAGGTGGGAAATTTGTCTGAGCAAGTTCCCAGCACAGTGCCGCCAGTTTTCCGCACAGCAGTTGCTTCTGCTACTTAATGTACAAATATGTATATAGTATTGCTTAAAATACGTCATAGTGATTCATTGAAATTTAATACCAACGTTGATTGAGGCAAATATGTAAATTCAGTTGTGATCAGATCGTAGCGAGATGAGGAAGTCTAAAATCGCGTTGTAAATAGATAATCTTTCCAATGAAATAAATCGATAGAATACAGTCCCCTGAATGTTATTGTGTGTGAACCAGTGTGCGCGGAGATCAAAGTGAAGATTCTGCAAAACAGTGGTCCGATCGAACCGGATTTGTGAATTGTGTACGAGGCTGCGAACAAAGAACGTTTGATATTTATGCTGCCGTCGATAGTGGAAAGATTTGCGTAAAGTTTGAAAACGAAGAGTATGGGCGATCTGACGAAGAAAAAGCGAGTTAGAGGAGGCCACAGAGCATCGGCAAGTAAGCTTGTGGCAAAGATAATGGAAGCGATACCGAAAGCAAGCCCAGAGAGCCCAGAGAAGGACTTAGTATGGCTGAGACAAAGCCAGATCACATTACGAGACAAAATCAAAATGTTGAAAGAGCTCGATGAACAAGTCATTGATATACTCAGCACATCGAAAGACGAAGACGTCGACAAACAACTTGGCAAAGAGATTGAGGATTCAGACGAAGCGATCGCAGAATTGGAAAGAACGTTGCTTCAACTCGATGACGCGCTAGGAAAACTCTGAGGACAAAGCCTGCCATTGTTGACGCCAACAAATCTCACATCAGCCGAAGGAAACCTTGATCAAAGTCATGTTTCAATATCAAGTGCAGGTAAAATCATAAGACTACGGAATTTCGGTGGAAAGATTTGTGAATGGCCAGAGTTTTGGGATGGATTTTCCAGCTCGATAGACAACAATGACCAATTGTCAGATGTTGACAAGTTTGCCTATCTGCGCGGATATTTGGAAGGGCCAGCAAAGTCTACCATCGCTGGTCTCTCGTTGACGGGAGCGAATTACAAGTGTGCGGTGGAATTGTTAAAGAAACGGTTCGAAAAGAAAAGCGCAGTACAACAGGCGCACGTAAATGAACTGATACAATTGCCGGCGGTTTATAAAGAAAGAAACACACAAAGATTACGGAAGTTGTATGACAGCTGCGAAGCGAACAACTGCGCATTGAAAGCCCTGGGAGTGAATGAAGACTCGTATTCAGCCATTGTTGTTCCAACAATCATGGAAAAGTTGCCAGAACAGTTTCGTTTGACCATCACGCGAGGGCAGAACTTTCTGGAATGGTCGATGGAAGAAATGTTAAACGCTTTTGAGAAGGAACTCGAACTTTGTGAAGCGCACAATGCAGTGGGAACGAATTCGGATCGAGAGCAGGAAAGACACAAGCGAAATTCGGGTAATATAAAGAAATATGGCCAACATCATCATGGAACTGCAGCTGCATTGTTAGCAAACGAAAGGAGAGGAAACTGTGCATTCTGTCTGAAGAACCACAACCATGAAGACTGTGAGGGAGTGAAAGATCCGAGGACACGAAAGAGTTTGGCTCGTAAATACGGTAGATGTTTTCTTTGTTTATTTAAGGGCCATAGAGCCAGTAATTGTACTGTTAAAAATAGGTGTAATGTTTGCAATGGGGCACATCATGTTGCATTGTGTGATGCAAGCCCTAAAGAAGACGATAAACGTGATAAAACAGTCAAACCTGACGAAGAATCTAAACAGGTCCCTGTTAATACTAATGTGCATGTGACTAGTTCCAGTAGTAACTTGCATGCGGGAACTGGTAGCCTGGTTGCCTTGCAAACTGCACGCGGGGTTTTAAGGGGTGAAAGGGTGGCTAAGGTGCGGGTTCTCTTTGATGCGGGAAGTCATCGTTCCTTTGTTACTTCTAAAGCAGCTAGTCTTGTGAATCCCAAGGGCTTAAGAAGGGAATTGTTAGGGATTAATACGTTCGGTCAAAAATGTACCAATGCCGAGCACAGGGAGGTGGTCGAATTAAAGCTTGAACCTGTTAACGGGAATAAGGTTATCTCCTTAGAAGCATTTGTAGTGCCAGAAATCTGTAGAATACAGAATAGCCATGTAGAACTAGCAAGGAGAGAATACCCACATTTGAAAGGTATATGGTTTTCAGATGTCTCGAAGTGTCAGGGTGAGCTAGAGATAGATGTGTTGATAGGGGCAGATTACCTCTGGAATTTTCAGACAGGTGTAACCAAGAGAGGTAAATCTGGAGAGCCAGTTGCCATAGAAACTGAGTTAGGATGGGTTTTATCAGGGCCTTTGAGAGTGCAAGATATAGAGGGAGCAGAGTTAGCCCAAGTAAATTTTGTAGCTCAGACAATGAATAATGAAGATAGTTTGGAGAGTAATGTACAGAAGCTGTGGAGTTTTGAAGGGTTAGGTATCTGTGAGGAAGATAAGGTTCATGAGGAGTTTTTAGATGGCATATCTTTTACAGGTAGTAGATATGCAGTGAAACTACCCTGGAAAGAAAGCCACGACAAATTGCCTGACAATTATGCAAATAGCTTAGGTAGAATGAAGAATCAGTTGCGACGATTGAAGAAGGAGCCAGCATTGTTGACAGAGTATGATTCTATCATCAGAGAACAGGTAGAGCAAGGGATTGTAGAACCAGTAGCAGCATTAGAGAAAGTTGATAAAGTTCATTATTTTCCACACCAGGCGGATTCGCAAGGATGCAGTGACCACAAATGTTCGGGTTGTTTATGATGCTTCATCTAAGGAATGTAAGTCAGGAACATCACTTAATGACTGCTTGCATGTTGGGCCATCCCTCAATCCATTACTATACAGCATACTGATACGGTTTAGAGAAAACAGGATTGCTTTAGTAGGCGATATTGAAAAGGCTTTTTTGAATGTGGAGGTTGATGAGGCAGATCGAGACTGTTTGACGTTTTTGTTGGTAAATGATATTGAGAGTGATAAGCGGGAAACAGTTGTTTATAGGTTTTGTAGAGTAGTATTTGGATTGAATGCATCTCCATTCTTACTCAATGAAACATTAAGGCATCATGTCTTAAAGTATCTTGAAACCGATCCTGAGTTTGTGAAGAAGGTGCTAGAAAGTTTCTATGTAGACGATTTAGTTAGTGGGGAAAGTACGGTAGATAAGGCATTTCAGTTATATGATAAGACTATGAGTAGAATGGCACAAGGGGGATTCAAGCTAGGAAAGTGATCAACTAACAGTAATCTATTGGAAAGTAAAATTAAGGTGCATGAGACAGACTAATGTAAGATAAAACACATTGTTGAGGATCATCAATCATATGCAAAACTATCCCTTGGAGTAACAGGATGTGAATCAAAATGCCATAAAGTGTTAGGACAGGCATGGGATAACAAGAGCGATGAGTTTAAGCCTGAGATTGCGAGAGTGGGGGAAAGGGCAAAAATCTTATCACCTACAAAGCGAAATCTACTGAGTGTTTTAGCAAGTTTATTTGATCCTCTTGGAATAGTTAGTCCAGTGATTGTATGTGCCAAAATATTGTTCCAAGAAGTATGTAAGGATAAAGTTGATTGGGATGAAAACTTCACTGAGCAGTTACTGCATAAGTGGGAGGGTTGGTACAGGGATTTGATAGACACTAAGGAAATTACCATTCCTCGCTGTATGTTTTGGAGTGTACCTTACATGGATTTGGCGATGCGAGCAAGAAGGCATACTGTGCAGTTGTATATTTTGTGTATTGTACTAATGTAGGGGTTTATGTCCGCTTATTGACATCAAAGGCAAGAGTAGCTCCCCTAACTCTTTCCCGACAACCGGTTTCGTATTACATTTCGATACAATTTTTCTAATATAAATATCTCCGCGTGTATTTACCCCCCTTTTAAATAAATGCCACCATTGAAATCCTCATAAAATAACCTTTCGAACGGGGGGTCAAGTGCCGTCAAAACATTACCCAAAGCGAAACAATCATATATTTACTCACTGCTTGGCCAAAGATTCTAAATTTCATATCCACAAGATCTTGAATACCCCTTGAACTTTTCGTCATTTGCTGAACGGCTATACGTGTAAAATACTCTCTGTATTCAAGCGCTTTCGTGTAGAAAGTTTCGTATGTATACGCCGACTAGAAATATTTATTTTGAATTTTTCAAGATATCGGGTTTTACTCGCACTTGCGTACATTGCGCAATAATTGGCCAATAAGAAGCTCCTTTGGCCGGGATGACGTCAAACTCACGCGTGTAGGTGCAATTTGACCTTGCGAATCCATTTCTGGCCTTTCCAGGGTCATACGATACAAACGTCGCATTGTTTTGACGGTTTTCAGACGTATTTCCGGTTGGGATTAACTCACTTCGAGCTCACAGTCTGACAAGAAATGGAAATATATTGATAAAAGATACAGATTTGAAGATACAGGCTTGCAAATAACACTCTAAATAGTGTTTTTGATGGGGATTCGAACAAGTCTATTACAAAGACGATATGTGCGAAGGGGCCGAAGTTATTTTCAGCGAAAGGTATGGCTAGTCTATATTTTGTTCAGACAATTGCGTAATTTGATACAATATTATCGTGTTTGACTTTCAAAGGCCCATAAATCGTTACAATGTTAATAATGACTATAACTATCGTTTGGAACTAGTCTATCTTTTATTTGTGAATCGATTGGTGGTATTTCTGTCTTCATAGCATGCACTGAACCGAAAGAATGAAATTTCGAGCCGTCGATCGCTCGCGATCGACGCAATTGCACCCTATTAAAAATGCTAGATGCGCGACCAGGATTCATAATAAAGTTTCTGAAACGTTCTCTGATCGTAAATTTTTTATTTGAAACACAAGCTTTCGACTGTCAGTCTGCAGTCTTCGACAGGTAAAGTGATAATAAACTATTCTATACGGATATAGCTACAAGGACAGTGGTTTACAATTACAATTATAATGACATGCAATATAACAATGATTAGTTCCGCCTACGTAAACTCTCAGTGAATGAGTGCGAAATCTTAGACAAGGCAACCTATCGACACAGAGCAACAATGGAGTCCTGGCATACAGCAACCACAGCCAATTCTGACAACAATGCACAACATTTACCAGAACAATATAGATTTCTATTAAAAAAGAACAGATCATAGACATAGTTTTATATTTATAAGTATACTCGTTTCACTGAGAGTTTACGTAGGCGGAACTAATCATTGTTATATTGCATGTCATTATAATTGTAATTGTAAACCACTGTCCTTGTAGCTATATCCATATAGAATAGTTTATTATCACTTTACCTGTCGAAGACTGCAGACTGGCAGTCGAAAGCTTGTGTTTCAAATAAAAAATTTACGATCAGAGAACGTTTCAGAAGCAATTGGACCCTGTTGAGAAAGAGTTAAAAGCAACTAGTATTCCCAGGTTAGAGTTAATGTCAGCGAGGCTGTTAGCGCAGATTATGAAGTCAGTAAAAGCGTCACTTGAAAACCAAGTTAGGATAGATAGTACCAAGTTTTGGCTTGACAGCATGACAGCACTCTACTGGATAATGAATAGGGTGAATGGAAACAATTTGTCCACCACCGAGTAAATGAGATCTTGAAGCTAACGAACAAAGGGGATTGGGGGCATTGTCCCGGGGTTGAAAATCCTGCTGACATTGGGTCTAGAGGTGTAATTGCTTCACAATTGAAAGATAACAAGCTATGGTGGGTGGGGCCAGATTGGCTAACTAAGTCAAAAGAGGAGTGGCCAAAATTTGAGGCTACTGATAAGACAAAGACAGTTTTGGAAGAGGAACGAAAGTCTGTAGTTATGGTTGTAAAGGTGACAGAGCCAGCTAGTATAAGTAGAGTGATTGACTTGAATGATTATGGGACAGCAGAACGACTTTTTGGGGTAACAGCTTGGGTACTCAGGTTTGGGTTTAATGTACGAGCAAAAGCAAGGGGCATTGATAGGCGAAGTGGAGAGTTGACAGTGAATGAGTTAGTTGAGGCAGAGAATATATGGATTAAAGAGGCTCAGGCAGGGTTGAAAGTAGATAGAAAGTACACCCAACTGAGTAATAGTTTAGGTTTGATGGAAGAGGAAGGCATTTTGAGATGTACAGGTAGATTACATAATTCTGAGTTAGAGTTCAATACCAAACACCCAATCATTATACCCAATCATTATACCCAAGGACCACAGACTGACTGAACTGATTGTCCAGAAATGTCACAGTGAAGTGCATCATTGTGGTGTACGGGCAACCTTAGGAAGATTAAGGACAAAATATTGGGTTGTGAAAGGAAGACAAACGGTGAAGCGGATTTTAGGTAGATGCGTCACCTGTAAAAGATTAGAGAGAAAAGCATATAGTGTAGCACAGACGGCAGATTTGCCAGGATTTCGAGTTAGGGAAGCTGCACCCTTTTCTAATGTGGGAATAGATTTTGCAGGTCCATTGTTTGTAAAGTGTTGTGCAAAATGTCCTAGTAAGGTTTATATAGCATTGTTTTCTTGTTGTGTGACTAGAGCTATACATTTGTAGCTAGTTAGGGATTTATCTGCAGAGACATTTTTGTGTTGTCTACGGAGATTTGCTGCTAGGAGAGGAATGCCAAGCCTTATAGTATCTGACAATGCCAAAACGTTTAAGGCAGCAGAAAGGGCAGTTAGACGGTTGTTTAACCAACCTAAGGTTAAGGCGGAATTGCAAACCAAACGAGTAACATGGAGGTTTAATTTAGAAAGAGCGCCTTAGTGGGGAGGATTTTTCGAGAGAATGGTTCGGAGTGTTAAACGGTGTCTTAGAAAGGTTCTAGGTAATGCTAAATTGACAGTAGATGAACTTACCACAGTGCTTGTAGAGATAGAGGGTACATTAAATGCTAGACCATTAACAGATGAGTATGAAGAGTGTGAAGGAGAGGTTTTGACACCGTCACACCTAATTTATGGTAGAGCCATTAGCTTCATACCACAGAGGGAAGTAGTTAGAGAGGAATGTAGCTGTGGAGAAAGATTTAAGAGGGCTTGTCAGTAAATATCAAACAAGTCTGGCCAACCTTCAAATATCATTTTAGCTCATATTTCCAGGAATGATAGGCCTAAGTATCCCAAGAATTGCTGTGTAGTTAGTTGATCAAATATATTGCTTTTTAGAGAAGCATTTTTTTGAAGACGGTTGGAAATGCTATTTTTAGCCCCTACAATTGACTGCACTTTAGCGGCTTCAACCCAAGAAAATACTGATTCTATGCACATAAAACTACCTTGGTCTACTAGTACAATTCTCACTCGACAGATTGTCCGACTTTGGAGTCAATAGAGCAATTCTGACCTTTGAAATTAATCTTATTCACAAGACAGGTAAAACAAGTCGATAAAAGTATGTTTTACAAAAATTCATATTGTGAATGTGCTTAAGCTTTGAATGTCTTGAAACGTTGCTAATCTCAAGTCTAAATAATGATCTTTCGAATGATATAAAGATTACTTTGGGCAAATGACTGTGCGTTACGCTATTGCTTCCCAAAGTTGGTTCATATTGCTCACCTTTGACCCGTGCCGTCACTATACACAAGACAAAATCCATGTGTTTATCGTATAAACAAAAGTGTCTCAATTGATATTTGTGACATTTAAATCAAATCAGTAGTATTAAGAACAAGGTACTTACATGTTTAGTTCTGAAAGTGCTCCAAAGTAGCATTTAAACTGTCTTTTTTATACAAAACATCTCATAAATACTCCTGGCTTGTCAAAATGTCAACAGTTTTGAAACAGTATATCCTATGCATATTAGGTTAGTGTGTTTTCTGACCATCGGAGTCCGTTACAAGCACTGATTTTAACTGAAATTATTCATATCATTCAGCATTTGCATGAAAAACGAAAATGTAAATGAATCTAATATACTTTTACTGTAAATATTAAAATAAACAACAAACCAATCTTTGCAACGTAACTTCCTCTTCAACTTTCTTCAATTTCCTTTTGTGAAAATTTTCATTCGATTAATGTCATACACAACCTGCAAACAGGCATACTCTAGATGCATTGATGTTACAAAATATGGAAGTTTGCTGCTCGTTAAAGTCAATTGTTGGAGGACTATGTGGAGCGGATACCAGAAATAGAGAACAGGACGAAGTACTAGTAGTCCCCTTACTTTTGTGTGTGAAAGACATCACAACACACACGGCACATACTCGTTTTCTGGACTGGAAAATGAGGTGGACTTGATCTTGTGTCGTGCTGCTATTTTCACGAGGCCAGATGATATCACTTCAATGTCGATATGTCCTCTTCATCGTGCAAAACTTGGGGTGGGATGCACGAGGGGAGCGAGCACCAGGTGCAGAATACCACCCGTTCTGTCTAACCATGGAAAGACAAAAAAAAGTTGGCCAAAAGGAGATAGAGGGGTCGGAAAGTTACAATCGGAGCTACTGCTACGTGACACTGGTGTCTTTTTACAAGCTGGATCAGGTAATTTAGTAAATAAATTAACGAAGTTTCGAAGAATGACTGGTTTATAATAGCATTCTTCTATATCATTGCAAGGGGTGTGCAGAAAATGCCGTGAGAAATTAAAGGAAATTACAGACTTCAGAAAGATCAGTTCAAGGAAACAACACTGGTATGATACTTGGATATTTAATATGGTTTTATCATGGGCCTATGGGCCGGGGGGGAGGCATGGGGGATTATGCCCCCCAAAATTTTTACGGTAGCAACAAAAGTCAGGCGAAAAGAATTAATAATCGGGCAAACTAATACTGTGCCCCCCCCCCCAAATAAGATTAGGCCCGTACGCCCATAGGTTTTATAGATTAACTGTTATAAAACATTAAAACTTACGCTTTTAGGGACTGTATGTTGAGAGGGGGCTTGGGGGTCATCATAGTTTTTCCTGTTAGGACCGGAAGGGTTATCTGTTATTTTCCATTTTGGAAACGAGTTATGCCCCCCCCCACTCGGTGGGGCAGTGCCCCCCCCCACTCTGAAATTTGGTATTAAAAATTGAGATAAAGGACCTAGAAACCAATTATAATCATGGGCCAAATTCTGTTAATTTTGTGGTTAATTTTGTGATGTTTCGAAAAATTTTGTTAGGTTTCGGAAAAATTTGGTATGTCCGGAAAAAATTGGTATGTCTGGAAAAAATTTTTGACCCCTAAAATGGTACACTGACCGTTCCCCCCATGCCTCCCCCCGGCCCATAGGCCCATGATAAAACCATATTTAGGTCGCCAAATTAAATTCCGGAAAAAAATTTTTCTCATCTCAAACCCTCTGTTACATTCTTTCTGCAGTGCCCCCCCCCCCCCAAAAATCGAACCAAATAATCTGCAATGGCACAAAGAAATTGGTTCAATCCAAGCATGTAAGGTACCTAAAACAATGTGGAAGTCGATGCTTTCAATTTTTAGGAAGATTCAAAGGAGATTTCATTCAAGACACCTCAGCAGACAACCTGCATTCAAGAGCACCTTCAAACTCCAATAAGTCAAGAATCATTAACATTGTTTAGCCCTTCAGGATTTTCTCAACATTTAGAACTAGAAGAAACATGTGACGAAGAAGGACTAAATGCTGGCAGTAATACAAGAGAGAAGTTGAATATTTTTCTAGCTTCCAGAGATGTAAGCCCAATCCGCACGTCCATGACCATCCCGTGGGACACAGCGGCAGAGCGCACAAAACGAAGTTATGTGAGGAAAGGAAAACAGGTCGCTTTAGCTGCCCTAGAGGAACTTGCTCCACAAAACTCAGAAATTCTGTTTAGCGCAATACAGGCAGAAAGACAAAAGAATGCTGATGACATGGATTCCTCTTTACTTGAAGCTATGGCAGAGTGCTACGAAAACTGCAGCCACTGGAGCAGCCGTAGACAAATGCTGTCTATCATAGCTGATAAAGTTAGGTTTGCAACACTGCAGAAATGGCTGCCAGATCTATCTAGATATCGCTACAACATCGCAAGACATCATCTTTTCCTCCATGGTAGAGGTACAGAAGTTCCTCAACAAAAACAAAAAAGAATAAAGGTGTCTCCTGAAAAGCTTGACCACTTCTTGGCGTTTATAACAAGTGCCAAAATTATCCAGGATTTGCCCTTGGGAGAAAAAACACTGAAACTGTCATCTGGATCTGAAATCAAAATACCGAATGTCATAAGAACGTCCATCCCTGAACAGATAATCAAACAGTATCAGAGTTACTGTGCCGAAACTGGATTTAGTTCACCTTTCAGCCATAGCAGTCTCTCGAGGATACTTAACGTCTGCACGGCATCCACTCGCAAGTCTCTTCAGGGTTTGGACTATTTCTCGGCGGAAGGAGCAAAAGCATTTGACGACCTCGTTGAAGTAGCTGACAAACTTGGAGACAACTACAAAAACGGCTTATCATGGTCTAAAGAGGTGATCAGCAAGCTTAAACTGGCCAAACGTTATTTTAAAGAAGATTACAAGGTTAGTTGGAATTTTATTGTTAATTCTTTACGGATGTTTACTAATCAAGTATAGTACATCTAGCATTATGCCGAGAATTTATGAGA